TTATTCAAAATATATTCTGAATCCTAATAAATTTAATACTTCAATCAAGAATATTAAACTATATAATTGAAAGAAATACATTAAATTTTTCTGATCTAATAAATTTTCTTACATTAAATTAATCATATCTGACTTTTCTTCGATAAAATTTTATAATATTCTTCAAAAGAAAATATTTACTTTTTTTGAGTACATGATAATGAGTATTTCTAAAATTTGTGACAAGTCTATTTTAAGACTATTATTAAGAAAATATTCTTTGTTAAAGATAACTGTTACTTAAAAGAAGTAAAGTAAACTGAATAATCATTTTACTTAGCAATAGAATAATATTTTTCTGTGTGCATATTTACCCATATTAAAATAGTGTTTAAGTACTTATCGAATCAACAAGTGTATGTTTTTGCAGGATTAGAGATACGCGAGACAGTAAATGGCGTCGAGATCCAGTCTCGTCAGAAATCAGATGACAAACCTATTCACAGTTTATTTCATGGTGGTTTTCTAAATCTCAATTTCAACTCAGAGGAAGAAGATTCAGTACGAGGCAAGATCATCAACTTTATCATACCTCTATCAGGCCGCTACGAAATCTTTCAAAGGTTTCTTCAGAATTACGAAGATATCTGTTTGACCAGCGATGAGAAGACGTCTCTGCTCGTCGTGCTCTACCAGCACAAAAGTGAAAATTCTTTCAACAAAACAATAGATCTGATCGAGCAGCTTAAGTACAAATATCGCACTGCCAGCATAGAGGTTCTACCAATTTCTGGGGACTTTTCCAGAGCCAGAGCCTTAGATTTGGGTGCATCAAAACTACAGGCCGATGATCTGATGTTGTTCATCGACGTGGACATCGTGTTCACGAGTTCGGCTTTGAACAGGATACGGCTGAATACTCTACCAGGCCAGAGAATGTACTTTCCAATTGTTTTCAGCCAATATGATCCTAAGGTTGTCTACGGCGATGCCGGGAAACAGGACAAGTTTACTATAAACGAGATCTCCGGACACTGGAGGCAATACGGTTTCGGGATCGTCTCTCTGTATAAGAGAGATTATCGTGCCCTGGGCGGTCTGGATCTCTCGATTCAGGGATGGGGTAAGGAGGACGTGGAATTCTTTGAAAAGGCGGTAAAATCGGACCTCGACGTCTTCAGAGCGGCGGACAGGCATTTGGTGCACGTGTATCACGAAATAGAATGTAGCCGGGAGCTTTCTAGCCTCCAGTTGTCCATGTGCATTGGATCCAAGACTGACACATATGCCGGAGTCGAGACTTTGGCTAGTATGATTTACGCTGATCCGAACATATTGCGCTTTGCCAAAGAGAGGAGACAAAAGAGGACCAATCCTGCTGGTTAATCGACGAATGTGTGAAACAAAAGTGATAAATGAAAATCTGTGAAATGGGCTGTCGAAAATGATATTGTTCTGAAAAACAGTTTAATTTTCCTAGAAATTATAAGGGATCCGTGAATAATATACACCCCATCAAGATAAAAATTATTTTTCTTGTTACGCTTTGTGGCTTTAATCATGGGGTATATTATAATGTGTCGATGAATGGATTATCGGACGCTCTGAACCTCGGTGCCAGAATATTTCATCATTATTTAAGCGTTGTAAATAGAGAGTGCGAGATGAACAAATAAAAATTAATACAATCTAATGTTTCACTGTATGGCAAAATGTATATAATGTATCAAAGCTTTGATTGAGAACACATTTTTCAAGGTTTTGATTGTGAAACAAAGATATTACGCGCAATGATCTTCGGAAAGAATAGATCTGGAAGAGTCAATGAAAATCACCAAAGTCACTGTAGACATGTTAGTAGATTTTTATGTGTGCAAAAACAGTTTTCTCATTTTCGTTGTTAGTTTATGTAACATGATATTATTCTTACCGTCAAGTGATCTTTTTTATCGAGAAGCTGAGAATAAATCGATATCGTATACTTTTATAGTTGCAATTGCCAATACTTTTATAGGAATCAAACGTAATCACACACACACACATTTTACAAAATCATCAGCTTAGAAAGTAAGTTTAAATATTATAAATAAATGTGATATTATCGTGCCTTTTACAATTTTTTTTTTTCGTAAATTTATGTATTATTAATCTGTAAATGCAGATACTTTGAATTGTCAATGTGCTGTATTTTATATATTCACAGGTAAAAGACTCTGCAATAGTCAGAATATAATACTCATGCTTTACTGAACAAAATTCTTATGTTAAGTAATAACATCATTAATATTCATGTCACTCTTCCAAAATAAAATATTATATATAAATACGTAATTGACGATATTTTTTTACATGATATTAATTTCAAACGAAAATTCAATTATTTAATTTGTTTATATGAATATAATGAGATACAGATATCAATGAATTTTACTTTAAATAAATTAAGAGTAATTAAATATTTAATGTATGATGAATTAAATATTTAAGGCTCTCTTAACGTGCATAAATGTAAAGTTCGAGAAGAAATACTGAGAGATTTGCTAGTATGTTATCAGAATATTGACTATGACGGACTGCTGAAGTTGCATCTTTTTTGCGTTCTCCATTTTTTCTTGTAACAGTATAAATATCATGAAAACATCTAATACGTAGTTAATATTCTAGATATTCTAGTTAATATTCCATGAATAAATTTTGTGGTCTTTTATCTTTTCAAAAATAAAATATATAAAAGAAGTGTGCATGTTTACTCTTATTAAATTGCTGTTTATTTCAAAACGTTTGTCTAAAAATGTCTAGAGATTATAATTTTCGAGGAACTTTGTAATCAAAAGGAGGTCAAACTTTACTTAGAAAACTTTGCAAAAAAACAAAGTTAGAAAAGAATTCATCTCGTTTTAGCTTGACACAAAGAAACGATAACTTATCGAGCTTTCGAGTAGTGCTTGAAAAAAAAAGAAGAAAAACAAATAGCTGGTAATACGGTACATAGTGATAATTTGTAATATACGATTCGTTTGACAATAGAGATAGTAACGAAATATCACTTCTCGGTAAAATGATGCAACTTTTCCTCATGTGGTACGTTGCACTATGAGAATTGAAAACGACATGGCAGCTTGGAACGCAGTTACAAATCGTCAACTGTTATTATAACTGTCTATGAATTGTTATAAATGTCTTATCGCGCAGATTGTATTGTAAATGATGACTTATGAAAATTTCGCAAATGGCGTTTAAAGAAACAGAAGATGAATAATAAGCAGTTAGAATCGCAATAGATAATATGATAAGTTATAATACATGACTTGTGGAAAAGAAAGGTGCGATTTTTTTTGTATTGCAAATATCGAGAATTTTGACATTGTGATTTAGGATATGTGAGAATATAAAATAATAATTCTTATATACATTACACATAGTGTTCATATATCACAATGCGCGATTAAAACAGTATTAAATAATGCACATCTGATAATTCATCGAGTAATGAATATAATTATAATAATTATACTGATGCAATGACGACTGAAAATGTTTTTTCAAAGGCTCTCTAAGAATTGATAAAAAATGGTTTTTCTCTTTCAATTAATAATATTGATGTAAAAAATTATTTTTCCTGAAAAATTTAATTAAGATGCAATGTAACACAAATCGAGATGTTTGCTTTATATATAGTTTTTATAACTCATATCTTTGTAATTTTCTATTTTTTTTTTGTTATTATTATTATTATAGATTCCCGAGAAATCCACGTATGGAAAATTTCGGTGAAATTTTCGAGAGAAGAGATCGATAGCACATCTTCAATGTTTATGTCTCGTGTTAAGATTGTCTTTAAACAAAAATGCTAATAATGACCGCGTTGACGAGAACATCGTTTTTATCATGTAGCTATATAAAGATCTTCGGGCACAGAATTCATAGAATCTTCGGGAAAGACAGAGGCTCCGGTTTTTATTACGGCGTAGATAATAACGTATCGCTCAAGCTCAAGGCCGCCTGCAATCGTTCGCGGTAGACGGCGCATTTATAAGACAAATTTCCGCGCGAATTCTCAGTGCGGTCGTCAGTTCAGTACTTTGTGCTGCGTTATATTCATCAAAACACGAGAGGTCATCAACTTCGAACGAAGAAACGCGAAATTATTCAGAAAAGTCGTTCGGCGAGTAATTAAAAGCATTCCAAATAGCCAGTCGCATTTAATTGTACGATATTATTGGTATCATATGTAAATTCACGACAAACAAATTACAATTCAGGAATTATTAAAGTGTTGCATCAGATCAGCGGACAGCTGATCGAAAAACATCTTTATCTTGCTGCGTAATATTTTTCGGAGCGAAAACTCTTCTCTGCCTAGAGAATCGCGGAATATTAAGTTTCAGTTTCTAAATTTGTCAAAAAATACTGACAAAGAATAAAATCAAACAGCAAAGGATTTTAACTCATTCCAATAAATTCGAACAATTGTTCAATCAGTGATCCGAGAAGTCTAAAAAGCGCCGTTTGTACTAATTGCTTCGACGCAGCCTTGGCTGCAAATAATCGTTGAAGGATGAGAGAATTGTGGGTGATCATGTTCATCCTGACGGTCGTAGCTATCCGCTCGCCGGTGGAGGGGAAGATATTCACAGAATGTGAGGTCGTAAAGGAGCTGGAGCGAGCTAAAATCAGTAAGAGCTTCATCAGCAATTGGGTCTGCCTGATGCGAAGCGAAAGTGGCCTGAATTCGATGCTAATGACTGGTCCAAAGACAGCATCGAGCTATTCCTTCGGTATCCTCCAGATCAACAGCGCTAAGTGGTGCACGAGAGGACGTAAAGGTGGCATCTGTAACAAGCGGTGCGAGGACTTTCTCAATGACGATATAAAAGACGACATCGCATGCGGAAAAAAGATTTTCGATCAAGAAGGATTTAAAGCATGGGAAGGATGGACGAAAAAGTGCAAAAATAAGCCGCTTCCCAGTATCGCACACTGCAAACGAAGAAGAAGGATGGTGGCTCCAGTCGAAGTAATTGACCCTGCAATTGTATGATACCGCAAGAATTCGTTTGATACACTCATTGCCGATACATCAAGCTCAATTTTACAACTCGGGAATTTTACTGTATCCTTCGCTAAAATTATAATTTGTTTAATCTTTTACAGAATTTAGCTAAAGTTTTGTGTGTGAATGATTTCATGAGATTTTAATATTATTTTCCATTAACTGATCTCTCATTTTGATCTCACCAGTAATGGCACATTTTCTCATGCAATGCATTAAACGAACAAAGTATTCTGGCACGCTTTATAAATATGAATCTAATCCGATTGAATCTGTGCCAGTTATGATGTAAAAGTTCACGTGGTCGTCTTAAGCTCACTCTTGCATGCGATTTGGCAAGCGGCGACACAAGAAATACGAAATAGTTTCGAAATAGTTTCTGGTTACTAGAATTACAAAAACATACGTGACGAGACTTTGTCGATGTCTTCCTGATTTCGTCTTTTTTTACTCATGCTGCGTGTACGATATTTCGAAGAATCGTCTCGTAAATCCGCGCGTCGTAAAAGAGGGCAAACATTATAAAACAGAAACTATAATGTCTCTATGAAGAAAGAAACAGGCCTCTAAAAATCTCTCTACAGAAAAAAATATTAAAAGCAGCAAGTAATTTTGTAGCCATACAAATAATTTATAGTTGAATAATGTCAATGTTAGATCAAATCTTAAATGCAACGCAACACAAAGTGTCTAAAAAATATTGTAAAGACAATTAAAAGAAAAAGCATCCTGATTTTTAGATATTTTTAGGATACTTTGTGTAAATATCTTTTATATATTTTTATTTTTCTGTTATTTGAGATTCTATTTAATAAATTTTGTGTAATGTCTTATAATATTTAACTTGTATTAATAACATTCATAATATTTAATTAATATTATATAAAGTCAGTTATATTTTAATGTATAACAAAATAAGTGACAGTTATTAATTGATTATTCATTGTTTTGTAAGCTATTACGAAAGATAAATTGCATTTAATTTTTTTATGCATATAAATATTTCGGAGGCTTTAGAATTTTTTAAAAATATCTTGATGCAAAGTATTTTAAGTCAAATCAATCGTTAAAAATTAAATTCAAAGAATTAAATTAATGCTTAATATTTTCAAAAAAGCCGTTTGTTACATAAATTTGTCCCATGAATACAATTGAGCAAATATAAAAAATGAGTCTGATAAGTCTGATATCAACTTCGTACGACAGAAGTCTCAAGCGATTAATCAATCCAACAATTGTATCAATAAACGAATTCTACGAATACAATCGGAATATCGTCATAACACAACTGCTTATAGATTTGCATCAAGGAGAGAAGCGATATTAATCTTCAAGGCTAAGAGATATGAAGATCGACGAATAATTATTATGTTTACGTAATGCGTGTCGCGTGTTTCTTTAATTGATGTTCTCTTCCGAATTTAATATCAAGGTCTTTGGCAGATTTCAATTTCTCGGCTAATCGTGTAGAATCGATATTACATGTCCGTGATATTTTAGTTTATACCAATCTGTGCAAAGTAAATTCAATACTTTATACAAATAATTTCAACAATTGATAATTTTGATAAAATCATGATATAAATAATAATTCTAGTAAAAAAAGTACATTTAATAAAATATATCGTGTCTTAAAACATTTGACGAGAAAAATTACGATTAACATCAAAAGAGAATAAATTTTCTTTAGCCGGAATCTCTCTCCGCGGTTTCTCTTTCTGCCTTGAAAATCGATTGAATCAACTGCCTAGATTCGTACTTATGATGCATAGGAAACGCGAGATAGCGAGCACGTGATTAATTACATAACGGAGCGTTTGCTCCAAGTGAAAAATTCCAAGCTGATATCTATCACCTTAAACGCTTCGCAGAATTTCAATGATAGAAACGCGTCGATTTGTATCATTTTTTTTTTTTTTATTGCGACGAGAATTTTTCAAAGACTTTCTTTCGCAATAATCGTATCGATACTTTCTCGTCGCAGTTTCCGATGCGCCATTTTTCCAATTACACCCGATAAAATTTCAATCGGAATAAATTTACGAGAGTCAAGCAAAGTCTACCTCTCCAGGCCAGATCGCTGGCAGTTCGCTAACGGAACATTGTACTTGGCTGGCTTGAGCGATGCGAGGATGCACGTAAGCGCACTTTATCGTAGCCCCCGGCTGGAGTGCATGCACCTTTCACTAGCGGAAGTGAACACAGCTAAGAGGCAGACGCGTGAGAGCGACCCAGGTCATCACTCGTTCGTTACGGACGATCGCTTCGTACGAGCCAAGGCATCGCGAAACGTACGTTTGAATTGTCGATGTATCGCTAATTGACGAGCGATTATCAACTGATTCATCGCCGATTCTCATCAAATCTTTTGTAACTTGTTCTAATGAAATGATGCAAGAGTAATCTCTCTCATTGTATAGTATATCATGATTTTATTCTAATTTCCTTATTTAATTTAACCATATACTGAGAGATTTGTTTCCTCCTTTTAGCAACAATCGATGAAATTAGCCATTATCATTTTATTGGCAATAGCTATCGTAGCTATTGATGATAGTCATCTCTCCTTCGCTGAAAAATATTCATCAGCGATGCGATTGAGGAAGGTGCTCGCGCGCTTTTCGGATAAACGCAGAATCTCTGATGGTATCATCGCGTAGCAATTAATCATGTCGTGTCAGCTGAATGTGCGAAATAAACGAATAACGTGCAAAGACGCGTTTGCGCTTTCTCAGCGACTTATGATTGCGCAATTGCGCGAAGATGGATGTATATACGCACACTACTATAATGAGTCTCTCGGCGGTTTCGATGATGTTCGATCGATGTGTCCCGTCTTTGCGAAAGAAAGGCAGTTAATAGCGAGAAAAAAACCATCGCCGATTTATACAGGGGAATAAAATTATACGGGAAGTAAATCTATAAGCTCTTATCCGAAGCTAAGTCGCGCGTAACGTCGCCACGCAACCTTCCCCTCCCCCTCTTCCCCTCCCCTTCTCCCTTCTCTTGCTATCGGATAAACGCAGAATCTCTGATGGTATCATCGCGTAGCAATTAATCATGTCGTGTCAGCTGAATGTGCGAAATAAACGAATAACGTGCAAAGACGCGTTTGCGCTTTCTCAGCGACTTATGATTGCGCAATTGCGCGAAGATGGATGTATATACGCACACTACTATAATGAGTCTCTCGGCGGTTTCGATGATGTTCGATCGATGTGTCCCGTCTTTGCGAAAGAAAGGCAGTTAATAGCGAGAAAAAAACCATCGCCGATTTATACAGGGGAATAAAATTATACGGGAAGTAAATCTATAAGCTCTTATCCGAAGCTAAGTCGCGCGTAACGTCGCCACGCAACCTTCCCCTCCCCCTCTTCCCCTCCCCCTCTCCCTTCTCTTGCTATTATCTCCGACTTTCTTTCGATACTGACCGTTTATTAATGATCACTAACGATCCTTGCCATCTTTTACATCACTTTGCGGATATAAAATTTTGATTAGATCGTCCAATAATTTCAATTAGTTCAAATTCCGCGATGCTGTAAACACACGAGGATGGCGATAATAATGCCGTAATAATCGAAGAATTAAATATGATAGAAGTGATGAATCTATCTCTCAGAAAGATGATTGCAACAAATTCAATTTTCTTTATGTTAAGAGCAATTCTTCGAGTTCTGAAACATGATAATTAGAGCATTTCAATCATTAGAATTTGAGACCGTTTGACTTTTTCTATATCCAAGTTTACATGTTTGTAGCATTCAAAAATTACTCAGTTTGGGTCTATTTTTATTTTTAATTTAACTTTAAAATTTTTTATTTTTTATTTTAACTTTATTTTCAAAGAATCTTGAAAAGCAAGAAGCGACATTGATTTCGCAAAAAAATTCCGTAATTGAGCTGCGATAGAACTCGTGCAAGTGTAAGAACCGGCAACTTGAAATCGTGCAACTCGACACGTGACACGTTTACAACGACCGAGTTTGTATGATGAAGATAACCGAAACGGTGAAAGGTTTAATCCATCATATATTTGAGAAACAATGATATTCAAAGATGGAAATTAAGCACCATCTATTCGCCTAATGCTCTTATCTGCGGCCAGCATCAGCACAGACTCATGATTATCCGGCATTCGGATATCTAGACAAGAATCTCCACGTGATACGTGTGTGTGGGTACGTGTACGAACATTGAGATCCACGGAGAACTTAGACCCGCTAGGATATGATCTCTTTCTCCCGGAGGTAAAGCTACGTTTACACCGCTTGTCTTAATAGCTATAGCCACGTTTGCGTTGCAGCTAAATAATGCATCAGTTGGATAACGGCAAACTACAGAGTCGATAATATGCAGAACAATGCGGATCTCTCGCGAGTAAATCATCTTGTTCAATTAAGTCAAATCTACGCTTACAATCTTGCAAATGCGATATTTAGATGTCGAATGGAAGTCTTGCAAATAGGCAATTTTTTCAGGTATATCGCGATTAAGTATATATATGTGCAACAGTAATGTGTAATTAAATTTTTTATATAATGAAACTATAAAGTTAATTACAAAATAATATTTTTACTTATGATTATCAAAAAATCGAATTACAGTATTTTTTGATCAATTGGTGATGTACGATAGTTTTATACTTATTATTATTTAAATGCCAAATGTAAAGCTTGCAAATAAGCGATTTTTTTTAAGTGTATTGACGTTTCTCAAAAACAATAATATGACAGATATTATTTTACAGATAAATCTTTATATTGCCATTATCACATAATGTTTTTATTCAATTTAGGTAAAAATGTAAATTTCAAATAAAATTTAAGTATATATGCAACAGTAATGTATAATTAAACTTTTCATATAATAAAACTATAAAGTTAATTACAAAATAATATTTTTACTTATGATTATCAAATCACAGTATTTTTCGATCAATTGATGATATACGAGCGTTTTATACTCATCCGATGCAAATGCTGGCTGCTTGAAACGTTAATTCAGCTACAACGCGAAAAGGAGGAAGTAGCGAATTGATCGTCCGACACTGCAGAACGAGAGAATCGTCGATCGCAAGCGTCTCGGTGAAACTCGAACGTGGCTCGAACGACCTCTGCAAGGGTCGCTGTGCCTTCCATCGTGGAAAGCGAGATCCGATAAATTGTGCGATCGCACTTAGGTGCAGGCCGGAATCGTTCGCCAGATGATTCGAGACAGACGGAAAGAAATCACGAGCGCAAGAATCACGCAAGTGGAACTAAAGAGTATCTCTAACGAAGTCTCTCCTTGATAAGAAAAACTAGACACGCAACAAATTCGTCGCGGCTGAGCAACGTGATTCTCATCTCGCATAGCGCATATTCAATCGAAACTATCTAATATCGTTTGATCAAAGATCAAGGTGATATCTCATCAAACGTATGTCGAAAATATGTGTGTCAAAAATTTTGGCCATAGAGACTTTGGAAAAACCAGGCGCGATCGTCCTCTCTCGCGGGGGATTAGTTTAGAAATACACAAGACGACACAACGTTATTACGCTATCAAGCAATTGCTCAATCGTTGAGTAAACGCGCATCTAGAATCTACAAGTTGACGTAACGAAAATCACCGGTCAGCTGATTCGATTTCACGTCGTTAAACGACGATTACGGAAAATCTCACAAGACATCCTGTTTCTACATATATGCCTGTCGCATGAATAAAAATCTGTAAAATCCCTGATGCTATCTTCCGTAGCTGTCTTTTTCTGTAGAAAATCAAAAATATCATGGTACAAACAAATCAATTACTAGAAAAGGTTGATAAATCTTACATAAACGATAGAAATGTAAAGACAATAAAAGCAACTACATATAACATTCAACATAGCAAGTCGAAAGAACGATTAAGTAATTAGAACTTTTATATTTAAAAAATGTATTTTCTTTCTCTTTCTTTTTTTTTCTCACGTAAAATAAAATTTCACCGTAAATCAACATCTCTATGTTTCATAATACAAGATTAAGGTATAATGATCGATTACGATATCCGGTATACAGCTTGCTCATCAAGTAAGACCCACGCTTATTACTATTACGACGACGATATAAGCAAACCGGAAGCGTTTCACCGCTTTTCATATACCACAGTGATAATTACTCTAATTATCTAAGAAAGATATTTACGACGCTCTTCTAAAACATTTATCCTGACTGTAATATCACCGAGCTGAGCATCCGCGATCGTTTGTATCTTGCCTGGCTTGCAAATGAACGATTCATCGCTCGCGTTGAATACTCGAAGCGCGCATTACGTTGCTATTTTGGATAGAATCTCTATGTTACGACGGAAAGATTCCCACATCACGTTGATTATTACTTCTTAAGGACGTTAATCGCGCGCACTTTCTCCGACATTAGAAGACAAGTTAAAAAGAATAAAAATTGTTTCATCATCTAAAGAGCTATAATCGATAGCTCTTTTTTTTTTATTCAGATGGAATAAATTCTAAATTTAAATTGAATTTGATATTTTTCTATAGACATTAGAATTCAAATAAATTTTGATAAATTCAATTTATAGAGATCTGGAAATTTGAATTTTAAAGTTTCAAGCATCATTATAATAAAAATTTCATCAATGATACATCAACTCTATCTCTCTTCAAATTTATAAAAAAATCATTAGTCAATATAGCTTAAGTATAATATTTGAATGTTAACTGTTTCAAAGTTTGATTTGAATCTCTATCCCTATACGTATTTATAAGACGAGCGACGAATGTAAATCACGACACAATTTTAACAGTCTATTTCGGAAATGAATAGCAAATAAGGTCACGTCGGCACAAACTGGTCCGTTGGAATTCAAGAAGTTTCACTGAATATTTATTAGTCCCAACAAGACACGATGTTCGCGATTAAGTTGTGTCGCTATTTTTCTTATTCACGCTTATTTTCATGATTAATGTCTCTTATGTCACGCAGCCAATTCGGAGAGTTTCTATTGAGAATCGACTACCGTATACATAAATCTTTTCGCGCGATAACTGCCTCTTTACATGTCTAAGACGAGAAAATACCAAAGTCTTATTATAATTTCAGTACATTTTATAAGCAATGTTATATGTTAAACAAATTATGTATAAAAAATATAAAAAATTTCTGAGTAAAACATATAGTTTTTAAATTCAGTCTTCATCGTAGATGATGCGTATGTTGACATCAAAGAGATGTTTTTCCGCGCATGTTAAAAAAAGAAAAAAACGTAAGAACATGGTACGCATAATAAAGTGTCCATTGCGCATGTAGTTTTGTAACATGGCGTTGGACATTGTAATTCCTGCAATCTGGATTATCGTTACACGGAGAGGGAGCATCCTCGCTTGTGTAAGAGAGTCCAGTTAAACGCAGACCTGCTCCGTTT